GAACTGAACTAATTTGCAGTGTTGTCAGACTGCAAATGAGTGGGAAAAAGAGCTAGTACTTATCTTACATTTAGGGCTAAAGGAGGGGAGCCTGGGCATGCACACTTGCTTTGAAAAATGCTGCAATTAAGATGGCTGCACTCAACACTAATAATTTAGTGACTTTGTAGGTGTGTCCCTTCAAAACTAGGGAGTCCTTTTCATTTAATTTTGGCAATTTTCTATCGTTCATTTTGTTATTCTGTTCCAGATCTTCTGCTGTTACATGCGTTTGGAACAGATTTTCCAATATATCTTCTGTAAGGAAAGCTCTTTTTTTTTTTTCTGACAGGCTCTCATGATGCCACTGAAAATCTTCATGACATTCACAAGTCAATACTTTTTAACAAGATCACTCATTAGATTATTTTTTTCCTTGAAATTAAACCCTAGATTGGTGGACATATACTTTTTTTTGTGTTGGACACGAAGTAAAGAATATGATGAACACAGTTGCAGATTAGTTCCTTAATAATATAAATTTGGATCATATCCTGTACTTTGCTGAGGAGTAACTCAGGAGCTTTTTCTCCTCTTGTGGGTTTCCTGACTGAAGTCACTGAAATAATCCATTTTTATATTGTAAACTTCTATCCCAGCAATGCACTCCTGTGTAATTTGGCTGGTTTACATCATTGTTTGCTTCTTGCCCTTAGGTTTCCTGGTCTCCTAGAGTATGCCAGGCACTGTCACCATAATAGTCCCCCTGTCAGTATTACAGTCTTAAAAATCCTATTCTTTCCTACTTAGGGGAGAAATCCCAATCCATACTGATCCTATTTTCCTTATTAATCCAGTGAACTAATTTATCTGATTTGATTCAGGCGTTTTAGTGTTTAACACTACTCTGTTGCAGCAAACAGTTTTTCTTATGTTTTGTGTACTGACCAATAAGCTTTTAATTTAGTATTTTCTTTCACCATGTTTTGGTATGTTTACAATGTTATTAAAGTAATTTAAACCCAGTCATTTTGCTCTCCCCGTTGTAGTTCTTGTTTTGTGTTTTGTATATGTTTTCATACCTTTGGTAGTATTTTTTGAGTTACTGTGCCATGTTTAAGTGTGTATTCTATTCTTAATCACCCAATAAATTGAATCCTCCTATATCTGTAAAACAATACAAGTAAGTAATTTCTTTTGCTCTTAACCTCTTTACTTGCCCTTCATTTCCACCAGTACAACATAAACTTTATGGTATTATTGTCTTAAAATTGAGTATGTCTAAAAAGTATAAACCCCATACTTGATCACTATGAGATAAACAAGGAAAATACAAAACTTAGAGAGAACCAGTTAAATCTGAATTCCAGAGTCTGAGTGGAAAGCCACATAGATATGAATATGAAATGTTTATAGATTGATACATGTTTTGCGGGAGGAGTCTGCAATTTTTATCATACATAGTAGTAGGGACAAATTTTTTTTGTAGGTGCACTAAGAAATGCACTGATGCAATAGATCATACATGATTCTACATTTTTTTCTTGGTATCTTGAGTCACTGTTCTATGCTTTCAAGAGACTGAGAAGATTATGAAATAATAGGATTTCCAGTATTAAATAAGAACATCTGTACAAAATGTAAGAGGAAATGGTAGGATTTTTTTGTTTATTTTGTAAATGCTTATAAATTTCCTCCTTTACATCTTCTCTAATTTTTTAGGTGTTGTAGAAGCCATTTTCTTTGAGACTTTGACATTAGTTACATTAAATGCTACAGTAATTTACATTCTCAATTTACGTTCTTTTGCATGCTTGACAGTACTTCAGATTTGAGGTAATGATAAACCACAGAGTTATTGTTTTGTCGTTTCAAACTTAGAGTATCTTAGAAAGAGAGATTGTAGCCCGGTTCTAGATGCAGTAAACTCCTCCTTTTCCATCACCTTCAAGCGGGAAGTTTCCTTTTTTGTTGGACTCTGACTATAGCCTCCTGGAAATAATTTTGATTTGCTTTTTTTTATTCAGTTCAAAGGTAAGGGCATTCAGAGAAGGAGTTTTGATTGTATTTTTGGTCTGTTTAAAAACAGAAGAAAACATCAAAACAAGGCATTAGATCATGACAGAAATAGAAAAAAATCAAATCAGAAGAATTTTCAGTATAAATAGATGTATAATTACAAGCCCTTGAATGTATGTAATTACACATACTCAAAAAAAACCTCTATGTCATTGCCATAATGAAAAAGCCATCATTTCTCTTCAAAAGCACTTCAGAAAGCAAAATTCAGTCTGCCAGTATATTCAATTTGTCCATCTCTCACAAAAAATTGTACCCTATCTTCTGTAAGGAAATTGGTCTTCTGTCGAAAGCAAAGTAATTACAAGAATTTCTCAGGAAAAAAAGAGCATTTCTCCCATAACTCCTTGGAATTAAAATTGTAAATATTTCTCGTCCCCCTTGTTCCCTCATCTGTTTAATTTCATGAGTATATAGGTCCCTGACCTTGGCCTGATTGACAAGGGAAGTTAAAACTGCAAGCACTTACTATTCCTTTCCATGCATCATTGAAAGGGTGTTAGGAATATTAGAAGAATGAACATAGCTTAACTAATATTTAAATTATGGAAGGTATGATATATACCATTTTACAGTAAACTGTTTACTTAATAATACAATTTTCTTATGTTAGTAAAAATCTGAAATACTATTATTAGAAGAAAAATCATTAATTTTTTTAACATATGATAAAGGTGTCAGTGTATTGTGTGCTTGCTACTGGAGTTTATTTTATTTGGTTACAAATTAACAAATATTAGTGAACATGAACCTATATACTGGTTATGCCCTCCATGTTCCCTGAACTGCTCTTTTGAAATACAATTTTACTCTGTCTCATCTTTTTCCAGCTTCCAGATAATAACAACAGAGCTGCTGTTTCATCAGCAGTTTTGTGCATTCCGTATGCCAGGTTATGAATTTTATTAGAGAAGTAAAATTGAGAACAGAATGTGGAAGTTGTCAAAAATTATTAATAAAAATTGTCAGCAAAAGTAAGATGGCTTTCAGGTTGGCAATTAAGTGTTCTGTAGATACACTCACAGTTTTTCTTTTCTTAGACACCTTAATATTCCTACTAAGATCCCAGATCCCACAATAAAATATAAGAAGTAGACTAAAGGAGAATTAAATAATCAGGCCATATTGCCTAGCAGTGATTCCTTTAATTCTCATTTGAACTTCTCTTTCCAGCTTCTCTGTTCTTTGAGGACTCTCACACATAAACCATAAAGTATCATGATCTTAAAGCTTGTGTTTCCTCCCTACTACAATATATAATTTTTCACCCATCCTTAGTCATTCATTACTATTTTATTTAAGAAATTATAACCAAGATGCTCAATCAGAGTTTAGTTCCAAGACTTCAGTTCATCAAGATGAACAAGCTACTCACATTATTTTTATTCTGGTCATGAGGGAAGATTGAAAAGAGATGAAAAGATGAAAAGAAGGCTAAGTATCCCACTGGACACCAGTGAAGTCATCATAGTCCATCGGACCTGATGATAGGCATCCCAGAGTCCTGAAGGTGTTGCACTCATGAAGTTCCCAAGCTGCACTCCGTGATATTTGAAATTTGATATTTACAGCAGTCAGTTGATGTTCCAGGCAACTGCAAAAAAGGGAAACGTACGCAGGTTTAAGAAGAGAAGAAAGAGCAGCCCTGGAATCTACTAACCTGTCAGCCTCACTTCTGTGCCTGGGAAGATCATGGAGCAGATTCTCCTAGCAATTTTTCTGAGGCACTTGGAGGACAGGGAAGTGATTTGGGACAACCAGAACAGCTTCACCAAGGGTAAGTCCTGCCTTACCAAACTTTGACTTTCCATGATGGAGTGACCACATCAGTGGATTGGGGATGAGGTCCATGTTTAATTTATCTGGACTTCTGTAAAGCCTTAGTCATGATCTCCCACACATCCTTCTCTTGAAATTAGAGAGACATGGGTTTGATGGGTGGATTGTTTGGTAGGTGAGGAATGGGTTTGACAATCACATCCAGTGGTCAGTTGATGGACATCAGTGACAAGTGGTGTTCCCCCGGGGTCCATACAGGGAAAAGTGTAATTTAATATCTTCATTAATTACATAGACAAAGGGATTGAGTGAACCCTCAGCAATTTCCAGATGACACCAAGGTGAGGTGGTTTGACACACCTGAAGGACAGGATGCCATCCAGATGGACCTGGACAAGCTGGAGAAGTGGCCCATGGGAACATCATGAGGTTTAACCAGACCAAGTGCTGGTGCTGCACCTGGGCCAGATCAACCCCTGGTACCAGCACAGGCTGGGCATGAACAGCCCCAGAGCAGCCCTGCCCAGAAGGGCTTGGGGGTGCTGTGGGTGAGAGGCTGGACATGCCCTGGCCATGGCACTCCCAGCCCAGAGAGCCAAACGTGTCCTGGGCTGCATCCAGAGCCCCGTGGGCAGCAGGGCAGGGAGGGGATTCTGCCCCTCTGCTCTGCTCTGCTGAGACCCACCTGGAGCACTGCATCCAGAGCTGGGGTCCCTGCACAGGAGGGACAGGGACCTGCTGGAGTGAGCCCAGAGGAGGGACACAAAGATGGTCACAAGGATGGAGCATCTCTGCTGAGTGGAAAGTCTGAGATAATTGGGGTTGTTCATCCTGGAGGACAAAAGGCTTCAGGGCTACCTAATTGTGGCCTTTCAGTACCTGAGGAGAGCCTACAAGAAAGGTGGAGAGCAGCTATTTACAAGAGCATGTGTCTTGGTTTAAGACAGTCTCAAGGGGAACACTATAAAATGAGTTGCCCCTGTTTATAGGTTTAATCAACCCTTTCCACAAAAAAGGAGAAAAATACAAGCAGGTGTAAGTGAAAAAATGACATTTTGCTAATAAATAAAACTGCTACAGGCAAAAACTAGCAAATAATCACTAGATTCAAAATTTCCAAAACATACTCTCTGAGAACCAAGAGAAACTGAAAATGCTGGAAGTGCCTTTTTTGGGACAGTGCCCACTACAGGCGACTGTGTGAGGGGAGACAGAGGGAAAAGATGGTGGCCTTTGCAGGCAACAAGACAGCCCAGAAGACCACGGGAAATGATGGTGGCAAACCCTGATGAGAAAGTAGGAGATATGGAGCAGTTCTAATGGCAGATGAAGAATTGCTGGCTCATGTTGGGTCAGTTCTGCCACCCGCTGCCTCCTCCTGCCACGTGCAGGACTCCACCAGTGTTGGTGCTGGTGTGTCCAGGGGAAGGAATTGGCCTGTTGGCACTAACCTGTCCCCAGAGACTGGCTCCAAGCTCCACACTGCTGATAGGATTCGGAAACTTCATGCAAAAATAGTTTTTGCTTGTGAAATACACTTTTCCTGAGTGGCTGCTGTTGCAAGCCCGGAAAAAAAAAACAACCACCTGAAGCAACCCTCTCCAAAGCACAGTCTTCACCATCTGCAACTACTTCAACGAAAGAGAGCACTCCTTGCTTCCAGGCTCCAAATTAAAAAGGGATATAAGCATCACCCCTCTTCCCTCCCTACAATCCCCACTTCAGGATTCCCATTCTGGCTGCGGCGCTGGATCATGAAGAAACAGATTTTTTGGGGGCACAGATAGATATAGAGTACAATAATGTTTTGGGTTACCCAAAACAACATGGAGTTGGACAAGACAGGACAAATGGCAGTGGCTTCAAACTGATATAGAATATTTAGAACTATACATTAAGAGTATATATTTGGAGTATATAGATATTTAGAATATATTCTTTACTGTGAGGCTGGTCCCTGAACAAGTTGCCCAGAGAAGTTGTGGATGCACCATCACTGTAAGTGCTCAAGTCTAGGCTGAATGGGACTTTAAACAACCTGGTCTACTTAAAGGTATCCATGCCTTGGGCAGGAGGCTTGAAACTAGGTGATCTTTAAAGTCTCTTCCAACATAGGCCTTCTACAGTTCTGTGGTTCTATTCCCACATTGTCCTCTCATTGGATACCAGTGACAAGAACACAGCACCTCCCTCTGCACTTCCCTTCCAGAGGAAGCTGTACAGAGTAATTAGATTGTCTCAACTAAACAAAGTTTGGCATTACTCAGGTTCAAATCTCTAAATTCTTTTCCATGGAGCTAGTCCCAGTTTTCAGTTTGGACATGTTTATAGGTTTTTCTGTGAACATTAACACAGAAAAACAGTTTGAAACAATATTCTTAAAATTATAATATTTTAATATGTTTATTACTATTTCTGACTCTTCATTGCTTGATGTTTAATTTTAGCATTTGAAAATTTAGTGCCACATCAGAATGACTTGCAACTACAGCAGATTTCAGAGCCTTCTGAAACAAAATCCAAGATGATAACAGATAAGAGAGCTCATGTGCATGTTGCAGAGCTGCAGAGAGCTCAGAGCATCCAAGAAGAGCAGAGAGCCCAAGACACTAAAAAGGTGACTACTTATTTTTATAGATGTCTGAAGAAGTATTTTCTGAAGATTATGTGATTGATGAGTTAAAGCCAGTGTGAAGGCTTTCTGATTCTGT